AGTGCACCACATCAGTGGGGAAGACAGGAGAGTATGTATGGGGCAAAAGATGGGCTCAGAAGGGATGGGGGAATGAGCAGTGGCGGCAGCAGGTGGGATTGTGGTGAAAAAAAGAGAGAAAGAGCAGAGAAAGAGATAGGAAGAGACCATCTTTGGCCATCAAGCTTGAGGCTGCGCTAAAGCCACTACTTTGTCCCAGGGGGTTGCCTTCACTTTCAGTTAGTTGGCAAGGGGCAGGGAGGGTGTTTTCTATCTTCCATATTTTTCAGCATCGGGGGGGGGGGCTGGAACCAATTGCCTGTGGATATGGGTGCCCGACTGTAGTTTATTTTGTATCACTGTGTATTCTTGTCCTTATGGCTTATTTTGTTCTCCTTTTGAAGAAGTCTTCTCTCTTCAGACACAATTCAGAATGGGATGCCAGTTTGAGTGTCTGGAACTTTCCCTGGAAGTTTCCTGGAGAATGAGTGATGATTTGTAAGTTGTTGACGTTTCAGTTGCCAGGTCATTTTAACCCTTTAAACATGCTTTTATCTGTGTAGGCACTGGACTATTCTAGCTAAGCTGAAGAAAACAACATAGCCTGAGTGACTTGGTATCGTCTGAGATCTGTATTTGAGATAGCTAGAACACATGTTAATTAGCATTTTCCATGCATAATTTATATGAGGTCACAATCATGAATGAGACATTGACTGCTGGGTGGCAAAAAAAAAAAAACCTTACTAGCTACATCATAGTACTTTTAGTGCTACATTGTTTCTCTCAAATCACCACTACTGGAAGACCATAGGATTCCAAATAGTTACCCTGCTATCACCTCTTATATTGGTGTGACACAGCAGCAGTCATGTTAGCCACTAAACTGGACTGAAGAAGCAAGTATTGCGTAAACACATATAAGAATAAAATTATCCCAGAGTATTCGAAAACTATGCAATTTTAGATGTGGGCATTTTTTCAGAAACAAATAAGACATTCAAATGGAACTTCCAGGGAAGTTTTGACTAAGTAGAATAATCCAAAATGGAAGCAGTTTTGTGAAGGAATAGAGCAGAAGTGTCTCTCCTCTTTGGAACCTTCTCTTCTACAATTTTTCTTTTGCTTAGCATAATAAGTCACAACTAGTGTTAGCCCACAGTAAAGCTTTGTTTAGTTTCTAAATGTTTTTAAAATATCTCAGTTTGGGAGCAGGTGATGCATGAACAAGCAATACTTTTTAACTAATCCTTGTATTTACCGAAATACTATTGCAAGAACAGTGTTCTTTTTGGAGAGCAATCATAAAAAACAACCTATTTTCTATTTAAAATGTACTATCTATGGTGTAATGAAGACCATACACAATTCATCACAAGCTAGTGCATGTCTCAAACATTAGCTGAAATCCTGTTCCTTAGTGTAATAGGCCACAACTAGAGTAGGCCCACTGAATCAATGGAACTTTTACAAAAACCTGGTCACCTAATGATTTAATGGGCAAACTCCAGTTGTGACTTACAAAGCTAAGGAAAAGGATTTCAGCCACTAACTCATTAAATAACTAAACTGGGTGAGGTTACTGATACATTCTCAATTTTCTGCCATAAAGTCCTAAGCATCCTATTACCGCAAACTAAGATTTTTACAGCTATATATGTTTAACATCATAGTTCCAATGTACCCTCTAATTTTCAGCCTCACTGGGCAGGGCTCAGCTTCTCTCATGCGCAACTTCGCCCCTGTGTGCATGCACACAGAACTCCACCCCCACATGCAGGGTTCCGTGGTGACCAGAACCTAAGGGGTTGAATGTGATTGCTGCACAGAGGAGGAAGAAAGCTCCAAGGAGGGAGGCAGAGTTGCATGCATGCCTGGCTCAGAGGGAACCTTGATCAGTTGTGAAATAAGTCTTCCTGAGTTCAATGGAGCCTATTCTCAGCTATTTGTATAAAGTATAAATAAGTAAAAATAAGAAATAGCAGTTAATTCACCTTAGAAATTGATATAATTGGAATTTCTGACTGGGAAAATAACTTGAAGTTTTCACTTAGTTTCAGAGACATCACAAAATGAATGTTTGCAGAAACTGAAGTAAATGTCCTACTTCTTTTCATATGTTAGTTTCTTGACAGATGAAGAGAGTAATTCTGTGAAGAAACATCATATCAATAACATTTGATGCAATACTTTGTGCAAATTACCAGACTGCATTGCTGGATGAACATATATCCAATTGTTCAGTATTGTGCAAATTTTAAGTTGTCTTCCAATATCAACAGTATTTCTTGTTTAGTATTCCAACAGAAACAACCAATGAACATTATTTACCATTATTTTAGTACTTTCAAGACCTTGGTAGTAATATGAACTCACTATGTAATATTATTTATAAACATCACTCTGGATAATATTCTACCCTCTTTTATGAAATACTATCCCTCCCATGAGATCTTCCCCCACCCCCCAGGCCAGCAGCATAGTTCTCTGTTCAGAATATGACAAAGTTCACTAAAACAAGCATACATTTTCCTTGCCTTACATAATATACCAACAGCTACTGAAATTTAATACTAGTGTGGGATGTAACAACAGAATCAGATCACTCTCACATGATCTTATTATTATTAATCTCCTACCACCAGAGACTAGCTGTCATCATGTTTATTCTGACTCTGCATGAAACAGCTCCAAGCAACAATACTGTTCTACATCCAACCTCTACTGTAGGGGCATCATGTGACCGGGATACCTCTATAGTAATGTATGATGAATTGGGCCTCACTAAAATTAGGAACTGTGTTTACTTTGCCCTGTACTGACTAGTACAATGCTAGATGCTTTACTGTGGCACTCCACAGTATAAATTTGCTTGGAGGCACTCAACTACAAGAATGTGAGAGAGGAAAAATGTTTCCATACAAAATGTTTAATACAGGACTTCTTGCCTAGCACATTACCTAAATTTATTCTCCAGCTGTGCTCCAAGACAGTACAGGAGCCTACTATAACAAAAAGCAACAGATATCTCAGCCTGAAAGCCCATTGTCTATTGAAATGGAAACAGGAACTGATTCTCTATCCTTTGAGGTGTAACCTGATAACACTACACAGCAGCCTGAATCTTCAAACTGCAGTCTCTATTTTAGGACTGAAGTAATTACAGTTCCCATAGCTATAAGATTCAGTTAGGACAATGTTTGAACTATTATTTTTCTCCACCATCTCAAGTTCTGTAATTTTCAGTTGGATGAAACACTCTCTAAAGGATTTGAAAGCACAATGATTTTATGATACTTTGATGGCCTAATACAGGCATTACCAACATTGCTTTTAGACCTATAAATGGTTGTTAAAGCTGTCAGAGCAGAAAAATGGATTCTAACTTTCAAAATGGAAAGAGGACTATCAAAGAGGATTCAACCTACAAATTCATGATTCCTACTGTTCTCACTTAATAATCCTTCCTTTGCATTTCCCTTATGCTCAGCACAATGCATTGTAAGCGTCTTCACCTTGATCACACCCACCAGAAAGATCACAGAACCTAGGCCCTACTTGTTTGTTGCCTTTCTGACAAACAGGAAAAGATCCCCCCCCAACCAAAGAGCAAGCGACTGACAGTTCCACAGTATCCAACTGTGCACACAAAGGAAGAAACCAAACGCTTCCCCCAAGAAGAGTATAGCACTAAGCTCCCAAGCCATAGCAGAGAACCTCAGGCAAGCCTCTTTAAACACCATCCAGCTATAGCCGCCCTCCTTCTTCCTGCCAGCCAAAATACAGTACGGACAAGAGCAAACAGCATGAGACTCTTTTGCAGTCAGCCCCATTTCATTCTGCCAAGAGTATTCAATGCAGACGCTTCCATGTAAACAGAAGAAAAATGTGACAAGCTATTCAAAAGGAGCAGTTCTACTCGCTTCAGTCGCAACTATTAAAATGAGTCTTGACGCACCGTTTCAAGGCTAAATACAATATCACAGTACTGTATAGATTTGTGCCATGTCTCGTTTAGCCAGAAGCCTCAAGGCCAAAGGTAACCTGGATACTTTGGGGAAGAAAGAGGAAGATTGGGACGACCTGTGGGAGCAAGTTGGTGATAAGAGAAAGTGCTTCTCTTCACACTTTACCCTCCTCCCGGCTTCCCTACCAAACCTTGTGAGGGAACCCTAGGTGCTCTTTTTCCCTTTGTTGTTGAGTGGCTCCACAGCCTCTTCCTCTTTGGCACCTCTTCAGACACCAGCCAACTGGAGCCCGAAAAGTAGAGCAAGGAAGGAGCAGACGGCAGCGTCGACTTTCCCAACTTGTTTATCCTTTTATAGCCCCAACTACGCACCAAGCCCTCTAGGCAAAAGGGCCCGCCTCGATTGCAGCTAGAGGCAGGGGAGCAGGAGGGGGGGGTAATTTTTTCTCTACCCACTCCCACCCCCGTCCCCGAGCCTTTTCGAACGGTTTCGCCATCCTGAATAAAACGAAGTGCGCCGGGGTACGTCTGTTTCCCGATCTAAGACAACCACCACCACCTCGCCGTGTCCCTTTGGAAGCGGGGTTATCAGTTGAGCAGAGAAGGCAGAAGATGCCCCTGAAGTTACTTGCGCCGCTCGCTCTTATTCTCCTTCCTTCTCCTCTCATAAACATGGGCCCCGTGGCAGGAAGTCTAAACGTAACAAGCATTCCCAAGTAAAAGCCGTGGGAGGCGTGTGTGTGTGTGTGTGTGCGGGGCGGCGGGGGTGAGCACAGAACAAGCAGGGCCAACGGTTGGGGCTCCTCCGCGGCCTCCTGAGGGCCACAAGCCAGGACCTTCCGCCGGGGCTCGGCTGCTGCCCCAGGGCCAGGACAGCGACGACGCGTCAACGGCGCAGTTGACGACGCCATAAGTGCCCCCACCGGACTTCCAACTACTTGTCGCGGTCTCCTACCTCAGCGACTCTCTCTCTCCCGCCGTCCCCCCACACACACACACACTCCGGAGTAACTGCACCTCTCGGGCCCCCAGCTTCCCTTCACGAGGTACTCACCCTTCCGCAGTGTCCTCTGAGTCCCTCAGGTGAAAGGGAAGGGGGAGGGGGCGTGAAGGCTTGGAGCCGGTCG